TTCATTTGAATCCACATTTGAATCAGCTTCTTCTTCTGTCTCCACTGACTTTGGCGTACTAAAAAGAAAAAAAAATCAATCATTAATTTTAGAAATATGAACATGAGACATATTGCAGTCGCAAAATTCAAATATATTGAGGTGTGTGTGTTACGCATTTATTTTATTTATTTAGGCATTTATAAAATGGACTAAATCTTTCTTACCTAGTCCGCGGAATAACATTTTTCTTCGTTGTCTTTGCCAAAAATCCCACTATCGTAGATTGGCTGCTATTCTTTTGACCAAGTACCATCTTTCTTGACATTGTTAGCTCAAGTTTTAAACAATTACAAGCAGTTTGCTCTAAACCTTTGTCTCACTCAAATACTTTCGAATATTTTGTTAAATTGAAACAATCCTTATCCTCAAAACTCTAAACAGATATAACAGAGAGAAATCCGAATCAAAGCACCCGAGAGAACTCTACAGGTACAGTCTAGACTCTAGACCGAGCGTGGCGAGGTGGCGAGCGTTTGCCTTTATTTGAAAAGTGGGGTTATAGGTGCACTTGTGCACTCTGTTTGGAGAGAGAGACGAGAGACGGAAACCACGATTGCGATTGACCACAGCGCCACTCACAGATTTGGCGTTAATTACCTGGAGCTTTTTTTACTGAACCAGCCAATCAGATAAAGGGCCTAAGCAGAATGGCTGTCTTATAACCTTAAGGCAGTGTTTATGCCTTTAAAGGTATATCCAGACAAACTTGCATAGGTGCATAACCATATGCATAAAAAAACGGCGTGGTCTATTTCCTTATGCACATGCATATGGACCAATCAATTCTCTTAAGGTGGAAGCACATAAAATTGCAGGAGCCATAAGCAGAAAGCAGAAGCCATATGCGCATGCGCGATGGTATCTGTTAGAGCTCTACGAATACCACAGCGCATGTGCATATGGCTTCTGCTTTCTGCTCATGGCTCCTGCAATTTTATGTGCTTCCACCTTTATGCTTATATGTTTATGCGCTATGCAAGTTTGTCTGGATTGACCTTAAATCGGGGAGCACACACTTCTACACAACGCATAATGCGTAAGCATAAGAAAATTGATTGGTCTATTTCCTTATGCACATGTGTATGGACCAATCAATTTTCTTATGTGTGCTCCCCGCTTAAAAATTGACCACACACAGTCGATTATTCTCCTCAAATTCGATTGTGATTGGTCAATTCTTACGACTCACGACTTTACGACTCGCATTGGTCGCGTTCAGCAGACCAAGACCAAGCCGCTCAGTAGCGGTCCAACGTCATTGGCTCTTACTTTTAGAACTAACCAATCAACGCAGAGTGTTGATAAGACGAACTCAACAGTTGTGTCTGCTGAACGCGGCCATTGTAGATCCTAGCATAACAATTATGTTGGTATAACCATAACCTCACAATCGTGATGTAGGTAAATTATATGATATAGGTAATAGCATAGCACGGTTGTTGAAGGCACCTTAATCTTCAAGAAAAACACAAGTATATTAGGACCAGCGTACTTACGATTTAAAAATTTCTGCATTTACTACACCACTGAGAACAGTTTCCAAAACAGTTTAACAAACAAAACGAAATCACCTGTCTTATACATTTATCTATCGATATAGGTACATACACGAATATGTAAAAGATTTAATGTATGTAAGTAAACTACAATCTACAATTACTGATAAGCGGAATTGCTTTATTAATCGATATATGCACATCGCGTTCGGATTTCGCAATTCTCTCCAATTGACTATATGCTACTGCTACCCTCGCTTATCAGAATATTATCGCTTATATACATATCTGTATACGAGGGGAGCATATACATGTGTATATATATATATATATATACATATATCGGATCTGCTTCTTCAGTTTCAGTTCATTCAGTTGCCCAATGCTCCGTCGGTTGTCAGAGTTGCCGTGGGACATCCGTAAATATTGGACCTATACGTGGAACGAACGTACCAACAGATCCGTGATATAATTTAATTCAAGTAATCTTTAAATAAGAAACTCTTTTATCGTTCCATAAAATAGCATTGAGCTATGAATATATGTGAGGAACATCTTGACATTACGATAGATGAAAATGAAATTATTGTTGGTGCGAAAGATATTATAAAGAAAATTAGACCGTCCTGGCCTTTACAACAACTGCATTTCAAGGTAATACACGGATTCAAAATCAAATCGTACATCTTTTATTCTTTTAGCGTTTAAAGTTTAAAAAATAGGTCATCTGAGACTCGATAGCGCTTGTCTCATCAATTTGTCTAATTTATCTGCTGATAACTTTTGTTTACCTTTACTTACATTGATATGCAGTACAGTTTCAATGCCTCTTTCATTAATCATTATATATTCGATGTACTCACTTCTTGCGGGCGATTAATATTGATACTTGAAAGAATCGGTTTTATCAATTTTGTTATCAAGTAATAAGGAATATAGATATGTAGACGTAGATGTCTTGGCTTTTCTTATATCCATACAGTTTTAAACATTGACATAAATAATACACAAGTTTCTATCCAATAAGGTAGAAATAGTGTTATTGTGATTACCCCCCGACGGTATGACCCCGAAAACCAGTCCGAATGAACTCTATGAGAATATCTTTGTTTTTTTTATTTTAGATATTCACTGATGGAAGAACAAATAAGTTGGTAGGAGTATGGTACTCGGGACATTATACAGATATGGTCCTGATTAGAATTTATGGCAACAATTCAGCATTACTGATCGACCGAAAAAGCGAAATAAATAATATCCGGGTAAAGATCTTAACGGTTTTGCAACGTTATTATAAATGTCGTCGTCTCATTCACATTTCAATTAATACGTTGTTTAGCTACTGTAATTTATATGTATTTATTTTACCAACGTGCATAGATATTATTAAAAGATGCACACAGAGAAATATAATATATAGCGAATATAGCAAACATTTTAACGTGTAAACAGTAACTAATATATTAATATGGAATAAATATTTTTGTATAGATATTGAACAAGGCTGGCTATACTCATTGCATTTATGCTACATTTAACAATGGATTTGCCTATGAATTTTTGGAGGGTGAAACTCTGACCACTGAAACAGTCAGGAATCCAAAAGTATACCCATTAATTGCGAAACGTATGGCTGAAATGCACACTCTCAAATTTGAAAACGAATCCGTGTCAAAAGAAGCCTTTATTTGGGAAAAAACGAAGATATTTATGCAAATTATGCCCAAAAGATTTTCCGACTCCCTCAAGCAAGCAAAGTAAGCGATTACGACACACAGATTTTCCCAAATATTATCTAACAATAAGATATATATCCAAATGGTTTATTTCTTATAATAGCTTCCACTTTAAGGTTTGAAATGTTAATACCGTCGCATGCAATATTGGAGGAAGAATATCAGATATTGAAAAGTACACTTTCCAAAGTGAATAGTCCCGTAGTGTTCGCTCACAATGATCTTCTACTAGGGAATATATTGTACAATCCAAAACGGGAGAGCGTCGTTTTTATCGATTATGAATACACTGCGTTCAACCATCAGGCATTTGATATAGTTAATCACTTTACAGAATTTGCCGGTACGTACGCTTACGTCTTTAATCGCTTCAAAAGTATACTAGATTAGAAAACATTTCACATCGTGTACATAAACCCTAGCAACAAAGTGTCTCGTAAATAAAATTTCCAACACGTCGCGTTTTTAAGGTTTTGACGAGCCAGATTATTCTTTGTATCCGGATGAAAATTTCCAAAGAATGTGGTTAAAAGAATATTTGCAAGTGTACAATGCGACGACTACGGTGTCCGAGAGAGAGGTTGACAAGCTATACTGGCAAGTTACTAAATTTACTCCCTTGCCCCACTTTCTTTGGGCCTGTTGGGCTCTCATCCAAAGTGAGCATTCGCATATCGATTTTGATTTTTTGGCGTAAGTACTTGTCAATAAAAAAAAATTACAAACTTATCAAATCTGATAGAAAGTATAAATAATACGTAAAGACATAACGGCACGTATTATATAATATAATAATAATCTGATTATTCGTTCCTTGCGTGACACGAGTTCGTGGTTCGTAGTTAGGAAAAGAAATACTTGGGTCAAATAATTTATTACAATAAACTTTTACATGATTTTTTAGATATGCTGCAATACGTTTTAATGAATATTTTAAATGGAAGGGAGAAATCTCGAAGCTAGAAACAAAATATGACTAATAAAACACGGGGATATAGGAAATACGTAAATGGCGAATATATATGGCATTTTTTAAGTATTCCGTCCTGAATACTGAAATATTTTGTTTCGAATGTATATATGTCGGCAAGTGTACACGTATACGTGTATATATGTATAATATCCTTCTATTTTGGTATGCATAATATGTACCACACGTTATGTATCGTATAATATTTGGTTTTTATGTTACATAAGTGACATGTAATTAATAATGATTGTGATCAAATAGGACCATTATTTTATAGAATATATTGGTAGGGTGCGATATATATATATATATGTATAGTATAAATGCATCTTTACATTCATGTGATTGTATATTCATGAGCGAGATAATATAACTGACATGAGACAAGATTACAAATTTGATTGAACGCACTTTGTGGTTAAATTTTCTGTGTCTTTATAAGTATATATAAAATCTATAAAAACGGCAAAAAACAAGATTGCCAATATTAGTCGTAATTACGGATTATAAATTATAAGTATACATGCTTTCAAGGATAATTCTATCAACTGCACGTACATTTATAATTATTATCGACTGTAAGTATTATCAAGGATATATGGCACTTGAGCAATCCTGGATAAGTTACCGACGAATGTAACACGTATAAGCGCGATCGATTCATGACATTCACGTAGCATCGCTCACTGTTGGTTTTCTTGCTCTGTCGTGCACGTTTCTCTCTTTCTCTTTCGGAAAAACGTTAACAACGTTGAACGGGTTTGCCAAACAAAAGAGATAACAACTTTGGCAGTCTGTGTCTGTGCTTTATCTGATCGCAAATGATATGATATATCTTCGATGCTTTTTCATAGGACATAGATGACGTCTCGCGGCTACTTGATTGAAACAACCTCCAGCTCCCTGCTCCAGCCCAGCCAAGCCAGACAATCTTAAAGAGGCAGCAGGGAGGAAGGGAGAGAGCGCGCAGCAAACTCACAAAAGTCGAATCGAAACTGCACCTGCGATCAAGTGCGTAGACTGCGTAGTAGTAGCAGCAAAGCGAAAGCGAAGCGAGTTCGTGCCGTGTTGGGACCTGGGACTTGGGTTGGGAGATAGGGTGACTGGCGACTGACGATTGGGTCGCGCATCTCCGACGACTCCGACCCCGACCTCCGAAAAGGGAAGAGAGAAACACATTACGTTTAGAGTGTTTAGACTGTTTCGAGCGCATTGCAGATTGCAGATTGCAGATTGCAGCGTTCTCTCGGCTGCGGCCTCTCAACAATAAACACTTGGCGTTTGGCGTTTGCCGATCGTTGAAAGATGCACATCACCTGCAAGTGCCTGAACGTGTCCATCAAGTCCAGGAGCGCCGACGTACAGCGGATTAACGTCGAATTGACCGACTTGGAGCGCGCCGATGCCTTTTTTCGCGAGGTGAATGAAAGGTTTCCAGGTTTCCTCATTCCCTCAAAGAGTAGTCCACGATTAAATTTTCAAAGGGGAAGAGAAAGAAAATAAAAGAAAAGTGAAACGTGTCTGACAGTGAACAGTGAGATTCCGCGAGCGCGGCTCTATCAGGGCTATCAGGCTCTATCGCTCTATGTTCCGGCGCCCCGGCCCCCTCCCCTCCCCCTCCCCCTCCTTCCTCCCGCATCTGTTTTGCCGCAAAGATTTTGAAAAAAGATGGTACGACGTTGGAATTTAATCTCTTCACTTTTGTAGACGTGAGAAAATGTGTACCTTTTCGTGCCACGTGTCACGAATAGATCTCACGTTGACGTATATAATTCATTGCGATGATAACCGATTCAATGTTTCTTGCTGCGTGACGATAACCTATAACCTATAACCTGAACCTGATACCTGATACTTTGTGGTCGTCGCGTTAGTCTATCTTATTTCATGTATCGGTCAAATCGTACGTCTTGGCTAATCTTCCTTGTTTTTTATGCAAAATTTTGTCTAATATTCGCGCAGAATTAACTTATTTAATTAACATCAAGTACCGCGTGATACCATGTTTTCTTTTCTGTTCACACGTGTTTCTAACGACGAGCACGTAGAGACTAAAATTGTTTCGACACCCAACCCACCCCGTGCTTTCTTATTTGTTCAAAATAATGTCACACTGGCATACTTGCATACTGTCACTGTTAGTCGCTTAATTGTAGTTAAAACGTAAAACAAATTATTTTTTCCAATTTATTTGACAAACAATGTATATATCGATTTTATCTTTGACAGAATCTGGCGAGTGTACCGGAATTGGAAACTATTACTAAAGAACAACCTGGTTTAATGGAAATAAGGAATGTTGGGTCATGGATTATACACCGTTGCTACAATTGCTCAATGTATACTCATGCGGTCCATAGAGAATACGGTGCTGCTCTAGTCCTTATCAATAACAATATTCTTGTAAGTTTTAGAAAACAAACTTATCGTAAAAGATATTCATTTACGATGGAGATCTCGATCTCGATCAAAATCATCTCTTTGCGTTTGCCATACAATTCAGTTTTTTTTTCTTACATGACACACTTATCTTTTCCGTTGACGCAACAAACTGTTTAACGGATGATATATTAGCCTTTCCAAAGATTGAATGTTGGTCATTATTTAACTAATATATAACCTATGCAAAATAGTAAACTATGTAGCCGTTCTTTATCCGTGACAATCTGACGATCCGAGACGACCGGCTGATTTTATCAAGGTCACGATTTCGGTCTTTGCACATCGATATGATATTAAATATAGATATACATTTGTTGTTTACATAAATTACATTAAGATAAAACGTTAGATGTATTGTTCATTTTTATGGGCTTGTTTAACCTTGGAATAACTTGGTTGGATAAGAAAAGATACGTATATTGTTTCAGTTATCTCCCGAAGAAATAAATAAATTAAAATCCAATCCAGATTATAGTCCGGTGTTTAGGATAGTAATTAATCACAGTTTGGAAGATCTCGACGACTATCTGCAGCAGCCTACGAAGTTTTCTGGTAAGTCGACACGTGCGTACAAGTTTAACGTGTATTCGGTTTTGTTGGTTTTCAAAATAATTAATTTATGTATTTTATTTATCTAGTTTCACAATTACCTAACACGGTTCAAGTGGCCCTAGATGGTTTACAACGACAGCTCGAGGAAGCTGTACAACGTCAAACAATGGCGATAGAAGATAAAATACGTGCGTTTACTGCGGAGCAGTATCAATTGCTGGAACAATTTCGTGAAAGAGCACACAACGAACACAGACTGTTATCAAAGTATGATTTTACACAAGTATGTGTATTATATTATTATTATTATTATTATGTAATAATTCGTGCAACTTGTTTTCTGCACACGTAGAATAGCGTGTAGAGGAGAAGAGACAAGTAGAATAACCAATAACATAGAAACTCCACCAACGACTCCTGACGGCTTTAAAGGTTCCTTGACTACCTCCACTGCTAATACAGTGAATCCAAAGTCTAATATAATATTTAATGACACAAAAGTGTCTAGTGGCCCAAACGTTAAACACGAGACAACCACCAGACACTCTTCTGAAAGCACCATTAATGTAAGTCACTTTTGTCATATCACAGTTTACTCGATCTGCAGAGATCCAAAATCTCTTTATTGTAATTATAACTCTATTATAATTATAAATCTGGATAATAAACTTTATAGAATGAAAGTTCGAGAAAAAAAGATCCGTTATATATTTGTACTAAAGAATCAGCTAGCTTCGATACAGAAGCATTGTTTCCTTTCGAAGGAATGGAGGAGACAGACGCAGCCAGCCAACAGCTTCTGTGGTCTTCGGAAGAGGGGTCTGATACCGATGGTATAACGTATTACGTTAATCTTAGTACAGTAGCGTTTCGTTTGGATTCAAGTCTATATAATACGAGCGTTTTGTTCAGATTCAAGCCAAAATGAAGGAATTCATATGCCAAGAGGTCAACGGGATGGTCATTCCACATTAGCTAAATCATTACCCGTCACCGTACCCGTTTTTCCTTCTATCGGTCATCGCGCAGTACAGAATCAAGACGATGACCAGGTAAAACTCTACATTTTAATTTCTGCAGAGTGTATATACATAGATATACAATTTTAAAACCTTCATACATCTTTTGAGTCCATTTGATAGATATTATTTGATTGAAATTTACTCGAGACCAAGAATACCACACACACACGTATATGTCTATGTTTTATATAATTACAGTTGCCAACCGATCCGCTAGATCCACACAACATTCGAGCTTCGATTAAAGCCTTAGCTAAAAGCGTCCATGGTGATACAGTATTTGGAGATTTACCACGTCCCAGATTTTCTACTCAGATCTGATTTATCAAGTATGATGAGAGAAATTCACTCATCATTTCTTAATTTTTTGATACAATATATCATGGTCCTTATCGTCCTCATCATCCGTCATTTGTCTTTCATACAAAAGTTGCAAGAAGTTTATGTATACTTGGAATAAATATGGCCGATTTTGCAGACAAGTACAGAAGTACCTTACGTATTTTATAGAAACTCAAAAATATGCCTTTACTCAAGTTTTGGCTATTAAGATTTACCAAATAATGTAAATATATATAAAACAAAATGTAAACACATTTGAAAAAAACTATATGCTATCTAAACTGAATGCCGTGCTTGCAGATATGAAAGATTGTTTAATAGACAAAAGAATGCGCACTAAAGATTTATATTTGACTCAAATACGTTTGTAAAATTTTAAATTACCTAAACAACAATTTGGACCTTAATAATTTATTCCGGCGTAACTTTATATACATATATATATATATATATATATATATATATATATATAAAATGGTGTAAATACCTAAGAAGTGCTATACAATAGACTGAATTTTTTATTGTGTAATTTAAAGATCAGTTTGACATATTGCAGTGCAGTAATTTGTAGTAAATGATTACGTTGGCTATTGGCACTGCTGATACTTTTAAAATGTTCTATATGTGTGCGCGTGCGTGCGGGTACACACATGTATGCGTGAATATTTTACAATATATTTTTTTCTTGTTTTGGTTAAAATATTCGAGTGCTATTGAAAAAGGCAGAGGTAATGTCAATTATGCATAAGTAAAAATACTTAATAAAGAAGGTTTATATAATTAATGTAATAGAAAAACACAAAAAGCACAAATGTCAATATAAAATAATAAAAGGGATTACAACGTATAATTTCTTACGTAGAGATTAAGATCTAAAGCAGATTATATCAAATATATTGCTTATATATTGCATACTTTATTATACAATAACTGACATCTTTTTCTGCGATTAATTTTTTCAACATACTGAATACGTAAATATTAGTGCGGTAACTTTTTCCGTTGGATATTTGGATGTAATCGTATTCCGCTTTTAATAAAAATGATACCTCATCTTTTAACTTTCGATCATAGATTATATTATTAATTCAAGCTTACTTATCATGAAATACCTGTAAGCATGTTATTACAATTTTATGGAATTAAAAATATTTCCTGACATTCTTTTTTCAACATCCAGTTTGCAGTGCGGTATAGCATTAAATTTTATATCCTTTGTGAAATATATCGATTTGATCATGTATATAGATATATTTCGATGCTATAAATACGTACGAATGTGTAAAATTATCAATCATCTTGAATCACGTTTTAATATGCTTTACGTATTGTGATAAATTTAAATCAGATTGTTTATTTTATTATTACGGGTTATTACGGAGATACGTTGTTAACAAAAAGGCTGAGAGACGCGTAACTATACGATGAATCTAGCTTTTGTATGATAAATATGTAAATGTACGTTTAAACGTATGCAAAAATTTTCTATTTAACAGTTTTTGTGTTGTACAAGCTGATACTGTGGTATAAGTTGTTGCCATTAATTTTCAGCTGCATTTCTTTTGTAGCTAGACTCGACGAGTTTCTGTTGTATTTCGGAAAAAATTTCAGCTTTTGATCACTTACAGTATTCTCACGAATAATCATGTACATCTGTATGAAATTTTTCGATAATGTCAGTGAGCAAGGGTAGCTTTATTCTTTGCAGCGAGCTCCATTTGCGCAGCGGCTACAGTCTTCATGCCATCCTGCACAGCCGAAAGATTAGCTTTCCACGATACAAGTAAATCTCGTAGTTGCATCCATTGCGGACGACCAAACGTTCTGTGCATCGTGCTTGAAATTAATACTTTACGGCCGGCCTGATCCATTCGCGCTCTCACAAGTTTGGTTTTTAAAACTAGAACAAATGAGATCGGAACAATTATCTACACCTTGTAAGAATATTACACGCGTACGATGATCAACACTACGCATCTCTCTCTCTTAAGAGCTTGTTTCTCGAGTAGCAACAAAACTGTTGAATGTCTCGATAACTCAGTGAAAATATACGTCTACACTAAGTCAGTACGGATTCATTTAATATATCCTGTTAAAAGTAAGTCGCCACTTAAATGAGTAACAGTGGAAACTATGTTGTTTTGGCAGGATCTGGTTACGTGTCATTTCGTGCAAATGAAAATTTAAAAAGTAAAAACAGCTTACCGTCAATTATGAAGCTTTCCACTTCAGATTCACCAATCTGCAATTCCTCTTGTATCGTATCAAAAGACATTTCTGGATTTGTCTCTGCAAGTTGCATAAAGGTCAGTAGCCTCATTTTCTTCATGTTTTGTTCATGGTTCAATCCTGCGAAAGAAAAAAAAAGTGGTATTTTTAATAATTATATGAAATTTGTTCCCCCATTTAAACAAACTTGGTATTTTACATTGTCTACGTTACACGTAGATTAGGTATTAAGCTAGGTACCAAGTTGATGCTCGACGAATTCTCTGTGATTTTGATAGAAGTGCAAATACGCTGGTAATTTATCTTGCACAAATACAAGAAGCAAATCGTGTATCAATTCGCCTTCCAAAAATCTCACAGGTTTCAAAGCCAAAAGTGGATCTAACAAAAATGTATTTGGATCCGCTAACGCAGCTAATATACAACGCTGTGCGTCTTCTCTAGCCGCGGAAGCATTCTCCGCTGTATAAGTTCCCAACAATTCCACCATGACAGCTGCCGCTTGCTCTCTAAAGAATTACACAGACAGATATTGAAGATGTAAAATATATCCACGAATATTTGTATTGACGATTATTTCTAAACTGTAAAATATAGGAAATGATTGTAGAGAGAGAGAGAGAGAGAGAGAGAGAGAGAGAGAGAGAGAAGAAATAATTCTGCATACGAAAACCTCGTCCATCTTACACATATTAGACCATTTCTTTTATTTTACATAGACCAGAAATATCTCTAACATCACTCAACGGTGCGTTCAATGTACGCGTGTGCACGCATGTGAGGGAGCAAAAGAGAGAATACGAGCCATACCCTTGTTTGCAGCTTAAAAGAACTTCGTGCAGCAAACGCAACAACTTTTGCATTTGTTCGTTCGATGGAGGAAAGGAGGCAAACTGTTGCTTCAATTGATCTATTCCGCTATACACAGCTTTTACTTGATCAACATTGCGGGCTATTTGTACCAAGTGATAATAAACGTGGTATCTCATTGGAGAATCATCGGCAAGAGATTGAAATAAGAGCCATAAACTGCAAAAAAAGTTATATTGAAAAATAATAATAATAATATGTTGCATATTGGTTTTATAAAAATTAACAATGTCGTACGCTTTTAAGCAAACCAATCCGAGTTTGTATCCAGGTGCTTTTACAAGTTTCTCACAGAATGCCAAAATTAAATTTTCAGCACGTTCCGTGGGTATCTGAAATAAAATAAATAACGGAAATAGAAAGAAAAATAAGAATGAAAATTAACATTTAATTATATAGAAATAAAGAGAAAAGTTCGAGAGTGAAATGTGAAAACTTGCCAGAATCATGATAGAAACAATGTCATTCAATACAGTTTCTATCTCACTTTCGTTTCCTTCCTTGAAACATGCCTCGCACACTCCAATAATCTTATGCAAATCATCCTCTATACCTTTAGGAGATTTCTCTTCGCTAATTTCTGCACCAAGACTTTTAAAATATACTCTCAGTTCTTGCGCCTAACAAGCATATAATAATATTTAACAATTTAGTAATTAGTATGTAAGTAATGCTAATTGTTAAGTAGTATATTTGAGATAATTGGCCAATTTAATACGCGTATCAAGTGATCGATGTAAACTAAGCCAACATAAAATAACCTAAAAACATTGGAGAAGACGTCTCTCATACGACGTGCTGCGTGCGTATTAAGCCAATTCCTAAGCCAATTAACCACCTGCTTTGTAATTTTGCAAATTTACCTGGTCATCTAACGGTAACTCCATGAAAATTGGTGGCACCTGCATCCTGACAAACGATAACACGTTTTTCCTTAACCAATTTAATTAGCAGAGACTGCGGCGGAGCTGACACTTGGCACTCCGCACTTGGCCAGCAGGCTACAGCAGGCCACAGACCAACGAGAGGGGCAGGAGGAAGACAGGAAGTTCGGTTGTTTGAGGTTGAAAGCGGAAAGGGAAAGAACGTGGAACTGCTGGAAGGAGCAAAGGCAAAGAGCGATCGATCAGCGAAGACAGAAACGGCGAACGGCACCGCGGGCACCGGGCGCATGTGGGATGTGGGCGCATGTGTAAAGCCTTGTGTATACACGATACTAGAAATCGGTCCGAGTTTCGGTTTAAGCCAATCAACTTGCAGCTCTTACAGAAAAGCAGCAGTTTCATTGACTTTAAGCCCGGGCTTAAAGGACTTTAAGCCCGGTGTCCACGATGCAAGAACTGTGTCCAAGTTTCGGTTTAACCCAATAAAACTGCTACTTTTCTGTAAGAGCTGCAAGTTGATTGGCTTAAATCGAAACTTGGACACAGTTCTTGCATCGTGGACACCGGGCTTTAATGGCTCTCTATGATTTCATTGGTTGAAATCTAGTGAATCTGTTCACTTTTGTAATTGGCCACGTTCAACAGACACAACTGTTGAGTTCGTCTTATCAACACACTGCGTTGATTGGTTGGTTCTAAAAGTAAGAGCCAACACGTTCGACTGCTACTGAGCGGCTTGGTCTGCTGAACGCGCCCATTTTTACCTCATTTCAAAAACCGTAATCGACTCTTGTCGACGTGTCGACTCCCTGGAGCTATTATGGATCTACAATAGGCGATTTTTGGCGATCGTTTGGTATGGTTTGTTACATATACCAAAGTTGCTATCCGTGGCTGCTATTCGTTCTGGTGCAGTTTAGTACCCTTTGGTTGCTTATACCAGAGTCACGCCAAAAATTGTTTAATAATGCGAGTCGTGGGACGTGGGTCGTGGAAAATTTACCAATCACAGTTGAATTTGAGGAGAATAATCGACTGTGATTGGTCAAT